TGTCTGCCTCCCCCCCCCCCCCCCCCGCCGTCCCCGCTCTCTCCTCTGGCAACGAGGCAGTGAGAAAAAAGTGCACTTTGAGCGAGTCAACACAATCCCCCCTAAAGGCCGACGGTGCCCCACGAGGGTGTCCGCTGTCCGAAGGCAGTCCTGCATCCCCAAAATATTGAGTCGACGACATTCGTCCATACCCAAACAGATTATCAGGTACAGAAATCTTTTGATGTCAGAAACTAAACAACTCTAACATCTGTGAGTGACCGGATTCGTTGCCTTCATACAATTACTAGATCATGTGGGCCGTTTCCCCAGCCACTGTTTTGTGTTGCGTAAGGAAGGGCAACGAAAGAAGGCCGGAAGCTGCATTCCAACTCTGAACTGTGAGGATGATGTGCTCGCCGCTAAGCTAGTATTTTCAGGACAAAAATTTTTTTGAGTTAAAAGCGGATTTGTAGAAAATCGAGATTTATTTTTTTAATTTTTTATTTTTTTAATAAATCTGAAAAAGTCTCTTGCAAATTGTTTATGTTGCGGATGTGTTTGTGATTGTGCATATGAGTGCATGCCCGAGTGTGTGCTTGTGTGTGTCATGTCCAGGCAAGACACGGTCCCCACCCTCCTCCTTTTCTCCTCCCTGCAAGTGTGTGTCATTCCGCTCTCTCTTTCGCTCTTTCTCTCTGTCTCTCTCTCTCTCCTTTTAATCTTGCCGTGTTCTGGTATGTTAGCATCAAAACTCATGTTCTCACACTCTCTCACACACACACACACACACACACACGCTATAAGACACTGAGACCTCATTCACAAGTGGAGGCGCCAAAGAGTGAAGGCCCATTGACTTTGACAAGGAACAGACACGCCGGTCTTGTTTTCCCAGGAAGTTTGATCCTTTTTGGGTGAAGAGTTGGAGCCGTGCCAGCCGCTGACACTTTGACACACTCTTTCTCGCACATTGAGAGAGAAAGCTCCGTGGTCGCGCGCTGCTGACACAAGGGTCAGAGCATTTAGGATCATTGTGGACCGAAAGAGTGCGTCCAGCTGCTTGACATCTGGGACTCATTGTTGAGGCCAACTTTTTTTTTTTGGTCAAACTTTTGAATGAGGATGACCGTGGATGTCGAACAGAGTCTGGACATGTGGTGATTATCACCCCGCCACCCCTGGAAGGAAGGTAGCGCTGATCCGGATATCAGGAAATCCCCCCCTGTGGAATAGATCAGTTTGGATTCATTGGATCTGGCTTGAAGTCGCTTTTCGGGCAGTGTGTTAGCCATGTTGGTAATGGAGGTGACATAGCTCCATATTCACTGCCCCGCTCAGGTATGAGCCGTAGTCAGGACCCTTATTGGGGCTCTGTCAACAGGTGAGTCACTTTTGGGAAGTCATTTGACGGCAATGGGGCTCGGTTTCCAAAAAAGTGACGACGTAAATGTGAGTGTGAATGGTTGTCGGTCTCCAACATGAGCCGTGATTGGTGACCAATCGTGGGTGATGTTTTCCTTTCGGCCAAAATGAGCCGGGAGAGACTCGGCTCAGAACATGTTACCCTTCTTTCAATCCATATTTTTAAAGATATTTCAACACAGTATTTAAAACAAATTATATCACTTCAGTGTATTTTGTGCTCTAAATTTGCAAATTATGAATGCACTTTTTTTAGAAAATAATGAAGCCTCGTGTTAATATTACTGGAGTTTTTGCTCATATGTCTGCTTGTATAAGCTACAACATTTGCACAGAATGTAAGCTAACTGCGTGACTAGAAAGTTATAAGTTCAGTTTTTGTTTTGTTTTTAAAGAATAGTGGCTAACTACTTTGGATATGCAAAATCGAAAGTCTTTGTACCCGCTTACCTGTGCATTTGTTCTGTGTGCAGAGCCCTGTTGAACCTTTCGGGCCACTGTTCTGTATTTGTTTTTTTTTTTTAATTATTATTCTTTCTCTATATTTGAGTCATACATTTCACTCTTCAGAGTTTGGCATGTTTCACCATGCCATGTCATGCTTGTGGCTCCCCACAGCAACGTTCAGCAATCAAATGAAAGTGAACACCAATAGTTTTAAGACTGAGTCATCGGATGTCCTTATATTTTAAACTGCCCTTTGCGCGTGTGTGTGTGCGTACATTCTTGTTCTGTCGCTGGTGCCAGCCCCAGCCAGAGGACATGAAAACGTGCGTCGTCCATTTTGGATAACTTGCGAGTGAATGTAACGTGTACTTGTTGATGCTTGTGTGCATACCTGCTCATCTGAACACCCACAAGCAAATTTAATCCATTCTAAAACCGCCATTCATTCACAAAGGAGATGCGTTTTGGTTTTTGGAATTAATACGGCGCATGATGGTATTCTGGATTTTCGGGGAATTACGGTGTGGATAAGCTTTGTCAGAATAACAAGCGCCGCGCTTTGATTTGAAAAGGCTCCTCCATCTGGCATCCTTCATGGCTGCATGTTTATGACTGAGTGTACTTCTCTCTAAACATTTCACCGCCATGGCCTCACAGTTAAGAGATACACAGAGGGATACAGTATATTGCAATCTTTTTTTTTTTTTTCGTGATTAAAATCGCTTCACTAAGTCTGGCTGTAATCGATCGTACAAAAACGGAAGCAAGATTTCTGTCGGTGTCAATTGTCATGAAAAGCTGACATGGACAAGTTATCTGATGCTAATGCTGTTAGCTCACGCTAAACTGTACATTCTCCCAAAATCAATCCAGCACTGCTCGTCATGCACGAAGCAACCATTGGCTGGTTAGGTGGGCAGGCACTCCAGAGGCTCCATCTCTTTGTGTACAAAAACTCCAGTGCAAAAGATGACAGAAGCTTCCTTCTTTCACCATGTGTATCAGTGCCCCCTACGCCCTCGGTGGAAATCAAGTTTCTTTGAACTGACGTCTCCTTTTTTCCAGAGGTACGGCAGACTGGTTTGGTGTGAGCAAAGACGGCGAGAGCAGCCAGCGATGGAGGAGGAAGAGCGTGCAGCATTGCAGTCATCTCTACGGGGGGCTAAAGGCTCAGGTGATGAGGGGCATGGAGCTGACCAGCCAAGACAACCTCTCCCTGGCCAGCACTGAGACCCCTCCACCCCTTTATCTCACGCCCCACCACCCTAGTCACCATCACTATGGCATGCAGAGGGTAGGCCACGGTCCGAGCCTTTTTTTTTTTATTTTTTTTTATTACTGCTTCAGTTGATGGGTGTTGAAGGCACACGAGTAGGAAGCACAACAGCCATCCCCTTAGTTGCGTTATTTCAACTGCTTTTTTTGAAATCTGCCATTTCCGTCATGTCATAATTATCTAAAAACACAGAAAAGCACCGAGTTTTACGAATGCGTAAACTTACGGGTTTTTAGTTGCGAGGCATAGCTCAGTCCATGTTTTGCTTTGGGTTGCGAAAAATAAATTGACTTACAAGTGAGGTTTTTTTTTTTTTTTCTGACCACGGGTCTTTAGAAAGTGAGTCATGAGAAGAATTATTATGACTATGTCTATTTGAAATGTCAAAACAAAGCCAAGGTTTTGCTTCAAATACTTTATAGCCACTTAGTTTAACAGTAAAACTGAATCCGACACAGAGAATTTCACAAAAGCACTTAACTCTGGGTTAGAAATGTTCACTGCTTTAATGCTAACATGTCTTGCGAAATAGCCATAGGCTAGTGAAACTGGCATCAATATTGTAGTAGTAATCTAAAAAAAAAAAAAAAGACACTGGAATAAAAATGGTGAAGTAGCACTTATAGCGCACAATATTCACAGGCTGTACAAAAAAATGACCTGTTACATTGCATTATATCTGCATTTTTGTGACATTGTTCTTCATGACCGGCTCCATGTGTACCTTTTCGTATTCATTTTAAAGTTCTTATGTTTGCTTGTAATTGTCTTGGCACCTCAGTACCGATTTGCTGATGCCATACTCCCCCACCTCGCTCTCTGAGGTCGACGGATCTCGCGCTTCTCGTGGTTCCAAAAACTAAAAGGAAGCTGAAAAGAGGCCTTTTCAGTGGCCGTGCCAACATTATGGAACAATAGTTGATCACATAGTAACATTGAAATCAATAGAACCTTACCTGAGTGTTGACTTGCGATATCGAAGTAAATCCGTCTTGCGTGCGCGCAGATTGTGGACCCCCTGGCTCGTGGTCGCGCCTTCCGTACGGTGGAAGAGGTAGATGGCTTCGGCGCGCCGCCGGCTCACACCAACGCCTGCACGGCTTCGCTATGCTCCTTTTCCAGCTCCCGCTCGGCCCTCAGCATGTTGCCACGGCGACGCAAACGGGAGTCAGTTGCCGTCATGAGCCTCAAAGCTGCCTCGGCGTTGATGAAGGTGACTTGCAAAACACACTTCAGATACTCTGTCCGAACACACTGCATTTTATAAACTAGCGTTTTTGTTTTCAAGGATAACTTATTTAAAAAAAAAAACATAGGCACAGACTCAAACGTGTGCACAGACATTTAACAAATCAAGAGATACTCTGTCCGAATACACTGCATTTTATAAACTAGCATTTTTGTTTTCAAGGATAACTTGTTTTTTAAAAAAAATAAAAAGCTTTTTTTCCATCATCTCAACACAAGCACAGACTCAAACGTGTGCACAGACATTTAACAAAATATTATCTGTGCATACAGGGCCGTGCATTAGGTGAAAGCGGCGCAGGACGGTACCGCAAGCGGAGTTTCCTGCCCTCCAGTTTCTTTGAAGATGACACGCTGGACTTCCCCGATTATCTGGACACGTCTTTCTTCACTGGGGTGAGCAGTGTCCCACCCACATACAAAAAAATGCGTCCTCATTAGGAAAACTGTCGGAAAGTGAGACTTGTGTTGTGTGCTTTAGGAGGGTCTACCGGATGAGCTCTCCAGCTATGCGGATGAAGTTTTTGAGACGGCATCGGAGGCCGCGCACCGTCAACCGGATGAGGGCGAGCTCACCGGAAGTGCGCTGGATAGGAACGAACTGGAGAGGAGTCACCTGATGCTGTGAGTTTATTGTAAATTGTATTTTAGATTTAGGGCAAAGTGAAATGATAAATGAGAGTTTATGGTTACAATGTCAGCTGGGAACTCTGCGTGGAATAAGAAATACAGAAAATAGGATGTCGATGAATGGATGCCACTCTTATTTCCAGGCCATTAGAGCGAGGATGGCGCAAAGCAAAAGACGGATCACTCGTCCAACCCAAGACGCGCATAAATCAAGAGATGGTGAGTCGGCAGCGTGGGCAAAGGATCGCGTTGCCCGTCAAGAAGCTGTTCACCCGAGAGAAGAAGAGGCCTTACGGGCTCGGCATGGTCGGCCGTCTCACCAACCGAACGTACCGAAAGCGCATCGACAGCTTTGTCAAGAGACAGATCGAAGACATGGACGATCACAGGTAGGAAATTTTTGTTTTCTGGAGGCTTACGGCAGTACTCAAAGTGTGTATTTGAAGTAGAAGTATTTACCGTATTTTCACAACCATACGGCGCACCGTATTAAAAGGCGTAGTGTCAGTTACGGGTGATGTTTCTGTGTTGAGCTCATACACAAGACGCGCCGCATGGCTGGACGCAGGTATGTTAAAAGCTAGCTTAAAAAATATTGTAGCGTGCGCGCTAGCGTATGTTTTTAAAAAGGCAGCGGGAGTAAAACTGAGTGCGGTTGTACTTTATTCAAGTATTATTTATGTACTCACGTGATTTAAAAAAAAAAAATTGATCAGTCCTCATCCTCAGCTAGGCAATTTCACAATCAAAAACGTCAGGTTCACGTCATTGTCAGAGTCAGCCATTTTGACAAGAGGTTAAGTTACACATGTTTTAAAATGTAGGTCGTAAAAGTAAAAAGTTGTCAGAAAACAGGAAAATCTCTTTACCTACTAGTATTTGTACTTTACCTCCCACCATTGGTGTGTTTGGCTGATCTTCTCCTGCTGATGTCATCACCAGGCCTTTCTTCAGCTACTGGATCACATTCGTCCATCTACTCGTCACCATCTTGGCTGTCAGCATCCACGGCATCGCTCCTGTGGGCTTCTCCCAACATGAAACTGTGGATTCTGTAAGTAACGCGTTGGTGCGTTCATTGTCCCCAGTATTTCATTGAGGATAGAAGAAGAAATGCCACTTTTTCAAAACACACTTTTTTTTTTATTTTTATTTTTTTAGGTGTTAAGGAACAAAGGTGTGTACGAAAATGTGAAATTTGTGCAACAACAAAATTTCTGGATTGGTCCAAGCTCAGTGAGTACTTGCAATATTTTCAAATTATTACCAATTTAAAGTTTTTTTTTCTTTTTTTTTTTTAATGGTTCAGTAAAAGCCGGAAGGTTGAATGTTGAAAGACAGACGCAAAACCATAGCTTGGTTAAAACCAACTCAAGTTCTGTGAAATAGCTAACCGAGTGCTGTCAAAAAAAAAAAAAAAAAAGTAGGATATTACCAATTTAAATGTTTGGGGTTTTTTTTGTTTTTTTTAATGGTATGGTAATGGTAAGGTTGAATGTTGAAAGACAGACGCAAAACCGTAGCTTGGTTAAAACCAACTCAAGTTCTGTGAAATGGCTAACCGAGTGCTGTCAAAAAAAAAAAAAAAAAAGTAGGAGTGGTAGTAGAAAGTAATCGTAGCAGCCGTGGTTTGCTGATTCCTTTATATGTATTTGCATAGACATTTTATTTTTTTTAATGACGCATAGTCATGAATATGAAAATCATTTTTTTGGATCTCAGAAATTATGGAGCAGCAACAAAGAACAAAGGATTATGATGAATATTACTTAAAAAAGAAGTGTACAATTTACAACAGCAGGCAGATCATTCAATTGGTTAAATTGATTTTTTTTTTTTTTTCCCCTTGCAAGGAGACGCTGATCCATCTGGGAGCCAAATTTTCCCCTTGCATGCGTCAAGATCGAGAGATTCACAAACTAGTGCAGGAGAAGAGGGACAAAGAGAGAGAGTCGGGCTGCTGCGTGAGGAACGATCGCTCGGGATGTTTGCAGACTTTGCAAGAGGAATGCTCGGTCAGTTTCGAAATATCTGACTGAAAAAGTTTGTTCATATATTTACTTGTATTGACTGCTACTTTATATTGTTTCTTCGCTTCTAGACCACCTTGGCATTGTGGGTCAAGTGGCCTCAGCACTCCAGCGCTCCTTCTTTGAATGGTAAATTACGTCAATATGGTGCTGTTTGCCATCAGGATCCCAGGTAAAATCAAATTGGTGTGTATGTAATTCGATACCGCGTCATGTTTTAGCCTGGGAACAAGTCGCAGAAATGTTTCACTCCCACCCCCCCACCCCCACCTGGGTAATTTGTAGAATTTGTCAGGAGCCTGCCTCTGTTTCGCCTCACGAGTGGCCTGAAGACATCACCAAGTGGCCGGTGAGTAGAACATGTTAAAAAAAATGAATATGCAGAATCATTTACCAAAAAAAAGAAAAAAAACCATTCCATTGTCTCCTGTTCAACTGCCAACATTTTTAATAAGTGACATTCACAAATCCAGACAGTACAGTCATTTTTGATTTTTTTTTTTTTTTAACGCCAAATAAAAATATTACGACCACCCCAAGTGTTCATCAAAAATGTGACAGAGCATTTATTCCTTCAAATCGAATACTATTGCAAGCCACTGTAACATTATCCAGTTTTTTTAACATTAACACTGCACTTGAATACAAGATCAATAAGAATAATTTACACACTCGGATGACATACACATTTTACCAAAATAGAAGTTTAAAGACCAACAGCTCTGAAAGATGAAATGCAAATGTATTATCCTGATGATGTTAAACGCAACCGAACAGTGTGTATTTTATTTTGCATACCACTCGAAGTAGCCCACGTTCCTTTACTACAATTATAATTGAAATCTACTTTTGTGTGTGACCTGCAGATTTGCACGCGGTACAGTTTTGTGAACCACACCAATCTTCCCCACATTGATTGTGCCATCACAGGCCGGCCCTGCTGCATCGGAACCAAAGGACGGTAAGGATCCAATGTCACCGAACTTTACAATTCCAGCTTGGACAAAGACTTTTAATCTGTATATAGGGGAAAAAAATGTCTGCATTATTTTTGTTTTGTTTGTCATCTTATGTGCTGTTGTAAAAAATCATTCCGACTTCATGAGGTCATTTGGACAGCATGCCATGCGTGGCTCGCTATCAATGTGAAAAGCATAAGGTGCAGCTGTAGTAAATATGTTAGTCCTTTGTACATTTAAAAAATATACACAGTATTTACATTTCATGCCCTGTGGTTGGCTAGTGACCGCGCAAAGTCAGCTGGGCCAGGCTCCAGCACGATTGTGACCCTAGTGAGGGTTAGTGATGTCGGATGGCAGGATGGATGGATATATTTACATCTTGAGAAATATTTATTTTTGGAGACTTGCATTTACACTTCTTGTGTTATTTTTGTACTGTATACAACATCAATATTCTAAATTAAATAATATCCTGACAAAATCACTACTATTTACATACTCTTTAATATGTGCTGTATTATGTTTTGTAGATGTGAAATCACTTCCAGAGAGTACTGTGACTTCATGCACGGCTACTTCCATGAAGAAGCCACTCTCTGTTCACAGGTAGACGACACGCATGCACACACTAGTATTAAGATTTCTGCCGGCAGCCGAAATGTTTCTTCAAATTGCGTCTCAAAGCGGCAACGTTTAGTTAATTTCATTTGAACCTAAAATTACGCTTTGCATGCTTGCGCTGGCTTCCTACAGTAGTAGAGTTGTGTCACCTTTGTTTCCATCGCAACACCAGATCAGACAGTTTTAATTGATTATTTTATTTATTATATATTTATTTTTATTAAGACATCCAGTTTTACAACAGATGGGTTTTGGTAATACAGTGATCCTTCGCCACTTTGCGGTTCACGCATCGCGGTTTCAGTGCATTGCGGATTTTTCAAAAGTATTCATAAAAAAATAAAAAATTTAAAAAAAATTTTAAAAAATTAAATGGCAAAAATGCCGCAAGAGGCAGCGAAAGTCAGCAAAACAGCGAGTCACATAGAGCAACATACACAGTACTGCATGTATATTTCATGTTTGTTTACTGTATTTTGTTATTTATACACTAACCTAACTTATACATCTTATACATGTATATAGCATTAGGTAATGTCAATTACAGTAAACATTTACTTCTACATGCATGTACTGTATACCATTAAATTTGTCCTTATAAATATTATATATACAGTACTCATACACATGTACATATACCTGTATGGGGGGGAGGGTAACTACTTCGCGGATTTTCCTCTTTCGCGGGGGTCTCGGTCCCCATTAACCGCGATAATGTTCATAAAAAAATGACCACTGGGTGTCAGTGTTTGTTTTTTTAAACCCATATCTCAGAGATTAGGCATATTTTAGAAAGCCATTTGAGCCTTTATTGGATATCCTCGATTTCAATCTTAGGTTTCATGTGACGAGCACCCTCTTGGTCATCACTAATTGGACACATTTTTAGTCAATGGCACACAACGTAGTTGGACGATTGCATGTTACTAGTGCATTCGTTTACAACTGCATTCTACGAGTAGAAGATAGTAGTGTCAAGAAATACGTTACTAGGAAGATGTTTGCTGAATTGTGTCATCGTAAATGGACCTTAAGCTTATACGGCTTTCCATATACAGTATGTACACTATAGTATGACGTGGCTATTGCATGTCAGTCACTCTTTCTCCACTAGGTGGCGTGCATGGATGGCGTGTGTGGCCTCCTGCCTTTCCTCAACCCTGAGGTCCCAGACCAGTTTTCCCGACTGTGGCTGTCCCTCTTCCTTCACGCTGGGTGACCTTACCTCTCTATTAGTTCATCATCACAAGCCTCACTCTTTCAAATAGTGTGTGTGAGAGACCATTTCGGTAGTATCTGCGGGAGCTGATCCTGAGTTGTTTTCCCTGACAGCCCCTCATAGAGCACTCTGCTGGGTTAATTAATGCTGGGATGAGGATTTGACCCAGAACATTGGGAAGCATCTACTTCTATTGATTTGCGTTACTAATATTGATGCGTTCAAGCTGCTAAGAATTGGGATCGCTACAGTTAAAAAATATTGATAATTGAAAACATTTTCTAAAAAGGAGCAACCAGGGACCCAGTCGGGGGTTGCCACGAGTGACTCGCATATGTTTGCCACAGTTCTGACTTTGAATGCCCTTTACTCAGCATTCTGAAAAGTGTGCTTCAATTGCAGATACGGTTGCCAGAAAATGTATGTGAACTCTTTGGCGTTATCTGGATTACTGCATAAATTGGTCATAAAATGTCTTCTAATCTTCATCTAAGTCAGAACAATAGACAAAACAGCCTGCTTGAACTAATACCGCACAATTACTGTATGTTCTCCTATTTTTGTGTTATTTTTGGCAGCCATTTTAGCTTATTAGTTTGCATCACATTTTAGTTATAACTAAATATCCTAACTTCAACGCCGCTATTTCTGAATCGTTTTTGCCATTTGTCTGTAGGATTCTTCACTGCCTGGTGTCAGCGTTGTTCCAAATGACAGTTCTTCGAGATCTGGAAAAGCTAGCTGGCTGGCTGCGGATCTCCATCATCTACATGCTTAGTGGCATCACGGGCAACCTGGCGTCGGCTATTTTTCTGCCTTACAGAGCAGAGGTACAGAACATATGTGATCGAACCCCAAAATGTGGTACAATCAGCATTAGTGATGTATACAAGCTGTCATTGGGCAGTAGGCAAGGGACACCCTGAACCGGTTGCCAGCCAATCGCAGGGGACACGTTGACAAACAAACATTCGGGCTCGCAGTCACACCTAGGGACAATTTAAAGTGTTCCATTAACCTGCCAGGCATGTTTTTGGAATTTGGGAGGAAACAGGAATACCCGGAGAAAACCCACGCGGGCGCAGGGAGGCCGGCGCCGGAATCGAATCATGCACCTAAGCACTGTGAGGTGGACGTGCAAACTAGTCGACCACCGTGCTGACTAAAATGTGCAACATTTAAAATACAAAATAATGTCAAACATTAGAATGGGACTTGTAACTCTGTACCTAACATCTTATTTCAACAATTTAAAAAAATTCAGTAAAGTTCAGTTGTATTTAACTTAAATACCGTAAATGTGCTTTCTAGTACACCAAAAAGTAGACTACACATCCACTTAAAAATGTATCTGGATGCAGATTATTTTATTCTGTGTTAGCCACCTGACAAAATAAAATTGAATAAATTAAACAACATTTGTGGGGGCGTAGTGAGCTTGATTGATACATGCTAGAAAGATATCCTGTCCCAAACACTGCATTATTGGGACTTTGGCTCTGGTTGCCTGTTAATGTTTTCTCAGCTAGGATTCAAATTACTTCAGTATTTCAGATTTTATCTGATTGTGGGGCACAGGAATCATATTTATTCACTAACATCGCATTTTGTCTTTGATGTTGCAGATTTGAACCCACATTTGTTAAATTCCGTTGTGTTTTTAAATGACTACCAATTAATCCCTTATACAGTGACAATACAGTAAAATTGTTTCTTCATAGGTGCAGATATGGCGCACATGATGATTTCCCAATATGTAACCCCACTTTCGCAATATAAGAATCCATCTCATTTTCGGATAAATCCACAGCATTAGCGACAAACACGACCACATGATAGTAAGATTTGAACACCACACACACAAAAATTTTTGCGAGACATTTTTGCAAGGTGCTGCCACCCTGTCTCACATGAAAAAAACTAAATTCAACCCAAAGGCTTTGAAGCACTTTGTTATTATGATATAATTAACGTAACTGTTTTGACCGATGACTCAAATGTTTTTTTTTAGTTGTACTCAGTGCTTGTAATGCGCAGTTTGAATCATGATGATCCAAAAAAGCACGCAATTGCACAAGTATTGAAGAAGACATATATGAACATTGTAAATGATGACTTTTTGCACAGATTTTTCAATTAAAAAAAGTATATTTCAGTATACAAAACCATGTAAAATATTCTTCCGCAAAAGTAGTAAAACAAACATAACATCACCTCTCTAATGCGAAAGTGATTCAACAGCATCCCTTAGTGGCGAAATTTAGTATTACAACCTACCCCCTGATCTGAAGGTTTTTTTTTCTCCCCCCACCAAGAGGACGTAAAGCCAATTCCAAAAACGAAAAAAAAAAACTCTTCCGCAGGTTGGCTTAAGCGGAAGCGTTTTTGTCACACAAAAAATAAATGTGCGAAATTGAAACGGCACGTGTTTTTAATTCTATCAAAAATGGAGAGTACAGGGCGTGCGTGCATTTTATTGACACTCTTCCCAATAGCTTGAGCTGACACGACATTCTCACGACAATTTCCCATCTTTCATGCAACCTCAAAGGAGCCTTGAGGTGAAGTATATGAAAGTATGGTAACAATCTATTCACTTGAACATTAAAGGTCAAATATGAAGGTCAAAGGCTCAATGAGCACAGCTCAGCAAATATTGGCACCAGAAAGCCCTGACTCACCGCATAAACGCCGTGTGAAAATTTGATAAAGTCATTGGCATGCGAATGTGCGCTCATTAACGTCAGGTCATGAGAGCCTGGAGCAGTATCAGAGGCCGGCTGTGCGTCTCACACCCATCGGTTGACCCCCCACCGTGCAGCTTCTGCAGATAGCAACTCCAAAAAATGTTATCTTCAAAAACCTGCTCTGCAAAAAAAAAAAAAGTTACTCAGCACTATTCCGGCATTCTGTGTGTCTTATTTGACTGCTGTGAGAAAGTAAGACGGAAGCGCGACTTCGAACTACTTCCTAATAAATGCACTTTTTTTTTTCCACTGTTAAGCGCAAATATCAACTTGAAGCTGATGTTTTGATCCATTAACATTTTGCTTAGTTCAGGGAAATTGGTGTGTGAATGGCTCCCTGTCTATACAGTCCACAGTATCTAAAAAGTCTACACACCCCTGATCAAATGCCAGGATTTTATTTTTTTTGATGGAATGAAACGAGACCAAGAAAAATATAATTTTTGAATATTTTACACCATTCATATGACCTGTTAACCATTACAACTCAAGACTTTTTTTTGGGGGGGGGGGGGGTCAATCTTTTCAAAAAAACTGAAGTGTTGAGTGCGCATGCTGGCATCTGGGATATGACTGTGTTCAGAATTAAGCAAGCTGAATTGAATTGATGTTAAACAGGAGTTCGCACATGCTTGCCTGTTTTTGAATGCCAAATCAATTTTAGATGTTCTGGTAGGCTTTTTTCTGACAGTTTCTATTTTTTTCCTCCATGTTCTAGCAATTGCTTAAAAGTTTGTACTAACAGTGAGTCCTATTTAGATTGTTTTGTTTGTTTTGCTTCTAACTTCCTCCAACTAGTTAATTCTCCTGAAAGCAGAGGCCCTGCCAAAGTGACCCATGAACTGGACATGAACCTTGTGGAGAGTAGAGATGCCAAACTATTATGAAAACTCCACTCCAGGTGCCATTTTTTTTTTTTTTTGTTTTGTTATAATCACTGTATGGAAGACGCATGCAAATGATGCGCATCAGGCAGAAGATAGCGAGGAGGCTTGCAGCCCACACCCAAATGCTGTTCTCTGATAACAGCCTCAGGAAAACACCCCCACTACCGCGTACTCTTTACCACTACTCCTAGTTTACTTCGGAAAGAAGGAAATAATTCTCTTTATATTTTACTTTGTGTTGTGATAAAACGGTTTATTACCTTTTTTGTTTGTTTGATTGTTTTTTTTATTTTTTATTTTTGCATCTCTATTGTGGACCACTTTTTACCCCCCCTCATGTGCAGTAGCTCACAATGCTGTCTAAGAAGGAGAAAGAGCTGCTTGAAAGTGTATGGGGGCAACTGACTCCTGCGGCTGAATACATTGGAGCGGATGCGCTTCTTCGGTAGGTTCAAACCTTATCCAAAATCCGAGAGCAACAAAATTTGTGTCGTACAATATTGTAAGTAGAATAGTGATGATGTTGACATTGTGTGACAGCGATATGACATCATGGTTTTGGTGTGTTTTGACGCTCAAACTCTCTTCTAGACTGACTTTAAAAAACGAAAGCCATTCTCAACGGACCTTGAAAAGTCGGCATTTAGATGCTAGTGAAGCACCGAATGTTAGCTCCAAGAATTTTAGAATCTCATTCATCGTAGGCTACTAGTAACACGGGGTTTTGAACTAGGGAACAGTTTTCCCTCACTATAGCATGTAGTTGTCCACTAGTATGCCGAAGTTGTCTGATTAGCGAGGACAAAGAGTGTCGGCATCCTCAACCTTAATTTTAAGTACTTTGAATAATTACGAAATCGCTTGATGGAAAGTCTTATTTTGAAATCCTTGAGAAGGTAGAGGGTGGCCCAGTGGCCTGCATGGGTTTTCTCGGGGTACTCAGGTTTCCTCCCACATTCCCAAAACATGTATGGCAGTTTAATGGAACACTCTAAATTGTCCCGAGGTGTGAGTGTGAATGATTGTTCGTCTCTGTGTGCCCTGCGACTTGCTAGCAACTAATTCAGTTACGCTATTATGCCCTTGTTGTTTTACACAACAAGTGCACAGAATTGTGTTTGTACGCACAAAAGAGTGTCCTATCTGCACCTAAAGACGGATATCAAGTATATTGAAAAAATGCTTTCAAAGCACTTCATGGGATGAAAAAATTGTGGTGGACTAGCCGGGATAACTCGTGCTGTACTACCACTAGCATCAATGCTAACACTGCAATTATCTCGTACCCGGTCCTTTTTTGGAGCCATCTCTTGTCCTCGGATCGCATTCTAGTCCTCTTTCTTTAAAGTCTTGAAATATGCAGTGTTATTGATTTGATCAAATAAATATTTTTAGACGGCGCAAACACTAGCGTAATCTGATTTCGGTGCCACAGCAAACCTCAACGGGCTCGTTTTGGGAATTTGATGAAGCTATCTGCGCCACGATAGGCGCACCGGCGTACTGAGGGTGTATCATTTGACATTCACCCAGCACAGCTGACAATTCGATTTGACTAAGGTGGAGTAAACTTTATGACTGCTGGAACCAACGTCTATCGATGCGGGAAGTGTAAGTCAATTTTCTTGAATTTAATCAAAGTTCCGGCAGACTGCACTCCGCATTGATGTGCAGTGGATGTCATCGTATTCTATTCATAAGTATGAAAATAGCGTGCATTGAAACGTCTGAATCACTGCAGAAATCAATTCAGCCACACAGACACGTACGATGTGGGTGGGGGCGATCGCCTTGCATATCTGACTATTCGAGCGAAATTTATGTCATCCATCCATGGAGGTCTGCTTGTAGTTCCTTAACATATTTTGCTTACCTCGACCTGCCGCAGGACACGCAATTTATTTCATTTATTCTCCTGCCATGTCAAGGATGAGTTGCTTTAGTTGACGGTCAATAAAGATGGCCTTTTTTAAAAATGTGCCGCGCCTATTTTATGGCTGTGCAAAAAATACCAAAACTTAGTCTAACCCACCCCAGCACAGATTTACACTGCACCTTTGAACATTTGCCATTGATTTGTGTGTCTCATGTGATTCGCAGAATGTTTACGGCCTTTCCCGGCAGCAAGACGTACTTTTCCCACCTCGACATCAGTCCGGGCTCCGATCACCTCTTCACCCACGGGAAAAAGATCGTTCAAGCCATAGCCGAGGGAGCCCAAAACATCAGCAGGCTGACGGAAACTCTGGCGTCGCTGCAGACGTTACACGCCTACCTGCTGCGGATAGACCCGTCAAACTTCAAGGTATCTGCACCAATTTGAATGCGTATGCGTTATGTCATAAAGATGGCCGCTGTTTCAGTCAAAGCGTCTAAGAGGGGCAGCCCGGTGGTCGACTGGGTTGCGCGTGGGCCTCACAGTGCAGAGTTCGATTCCAGCTCCTCTGTGGAGTTTACATGTTATCCCCGGGCCTGCGTGGGTTTTCTGCGGGTACTCCGGTTTCTTCCCACATTCCAAAAACATGCATGGCGGGTTCATGGAACCCTCTAAATTGTCCTAAGGTGTGATTGTGAGCGCGAATGGTTATTTGTCGATGTGTGCCCTGTGATTGGCAACCGGTTCAGGGTGTCCCCCGCCTACTGCCCGAAAACACCCGTGCCGCTTGTGAGGATAAGCAGTTTGGGTAATGGATGGATGGATGGATGAATGTTTCGAAGAGAATTCTGTTCAGATTTTTTTATTTCAAACAATGACCACAATTACCTTGAACATGAGAAAAAAAAAAACCTTGACAAGACCTCATTCATAATTTAACAATGTTTAATTGTTGTGTATTGGGTAGTTAACCTCAAAGTGTCAGTTTTGTTAAAAAAATAAAAATAAAAACTTTCGTTTTAAAATCTTAAATCCTTGAGATAGTATTGATGATTAGTCTTCCTTTAATTTCAGGCATTTAAAAAAAATAGTAAGCATGGAAAGCCTGAAAATAATAATTAACATCATCGTAAAACAAAAAGTTAACCAGACCAGTTTGGAATGAGTCGGTGAGTTTTTATTCATGCTCTACGCGGTGTTTTCCCCTTCTCCTACAGCATTTCTCCCAGTGTATGCTTGTGGCGTTGGCTGTTCACATGGGCGAAGACTTTACGGAGGTCTTGCACGCCGCAATGGACAAATTCCTGTCAGCTTTTGCAGCGGTGCTCGCTGAGAAATACCGATGAGACTCCAACGACGTACAGTATGCAAACCATTTCATGTACAGTATTTATGGATGTATTCGTTGTAATAAAACGTGGAAATCACATGACGTGATGTACTTGACACTCTGTAGTCGGGGCACTGTATCTCTCGAAACAGGATGAGATGAGCGGGTACACATTTAAATTATGTTATCATATCCATATCGCAGAGTGAGCACGGAGCCAGCGTTTATTACGGTGCAGGGTGCAACACGCCTTCAAACGTCGCACGCGTCAAATTATTTTGAAAGACTGTTTACGTGCTGCTGATTGGGTTTTTTTTTTCCTGGGGGCGAAAGGCAGGAGGCACTTATTTGTTCAAATGGGCGATATAGAAATGCACATTGGGCTTCCTTGATTGTGTCATATATCCGATACCTTTGCCTGGCATATTTTGTGGAGCACAATCATAGGTGCCCCAAAAGCCAATGAAATAAATGGCATGCTAGTTGTTTTTTTTTTTTTTTGTATCTAGGTATTTTCTGTCTTTTGCTCCCGTTCAAAAACATATCTGTACTTTCTTCTCTTGACTTTGTCAAAACACATATATACTGTGTTTCAGTTTTATGCTGCTGAAAAAAAAATGACAATGTTCAAATGCAGGCTGAAAACAGTCTAACGTTTAGCGATGTACAGTACATGAAAATTGAAGACATTATCAGCACGCCTCGCTTTCAATGAGTATAACGAAGGATTCTCTTGTTTTATGAAATTATTTGACTCCCCCTATAATTCCAGCCGCTGTACTTTGAATTGCCTTGCCCACCAATGGTGCTCTACGAATAAACACGCCTTGCCTTGATGTTGCTCGTGAATCCGTTGTCTTGTGCCAGTCGAAAAAATAAATATCACTAGCTTCCGGCGCGGAAAATAATTCTTCATCTTATCTCAAAATCATGCGCAGGAAAGGGGCTTTTTTTTTCTCCAGTTGTAAATTATTAGTTACTTGAAGTCAGTTCACAACATGAGCAAAGGGAGATAAACGCATTGTTTTGCATTGAATAATACCAAAAAAAATCCATTGAATTAATTTTATATCCATTTATAATACATATAGTGTATCATACCTTCAAAACAATCACTTTTCAGGAGACTCCCCAAATGGCAGGTTTTATTTAATCATTAACGTTGCATCATCAGTGGACGAACACAATTGTACAGCATATTGAAAAAAAATCAAAAATAAATTCCCAAAATGGTGACGGGAGGTTTCAGGCCGGTTGCCAGCGACACAGCGGATGAAATGAAGCGTAAACATCTCATCCAGTGATCTTTTGCAACTCCTGAAGACATTTTGTGTCAAGCAAAAGACTTGGTGGATGTTTTCTATTTCGATAGGTGTCACCTGCCGTAGAGCAAGCGTCCTTCTGTGTGTGTGTGTGTGTGTGTGTGTGTGTGTGTGTGTGTGTGTGTGTGTTTTTTTTTCCTCTTTCTTTCCCAAGGGGGTCATCATTTGAAGACATGGATGACATCAAGAAGATCCCGGAAGAATCTTCCCAAGAATATATCAAATCATGTCAAAAAAGGCCAAGTAAGTGGATTAGATTTAAGGAGGGTGACTTATATTTGGCATGTGAAATTTATGTTTGGTGACACCGGTCCTGGAACTTTTCTGACACACTTTGTTGGACTGAGAATGTTGCTTTGAGTGACACGCATCGTTAAGGCTTTGGGACACTTGAAAGATATTAAAATAACACTTATTTTAGGCTTATCTGTCTTCAGGGTAATTAGCCTCATCATGTCATGTGGCTTGCGAATGTTCTTGTCCTCAAGATGCCCAAAAGTTTTTTTTTTTGTTTTTTTTTCCGCAGGGTTTGTGTGGACTTCAGAGCATAGTGACGACTTTTTCCTCTTCGATAAAAGAAAAAGGGTGCAAAATCATCCACCCAACATTTTTAAAACAGACTTTATCTGTTATATTTGGGGTCTAAGTTGCTCATCTAGGAAGGAGGGACAAGTAAAATTAAAAATTCAATATTTAGGGGGCAATTCGGTATTAAAACAAATAATTCGGGATCACTTTTACTTTCGCTACATTTTGTCTCAAGGCTACTCAGTGACAATGTGAACATTTTTATATCTTTTTAACAATATGCGCCCTGAAACTGGCTGGCGACCAGTTCTGGGTGTTGTCCGCCTTTCACCCAAAGTCATTAATTTTGACCTTGAACAGAATAAATGCGAATTTTTTTTAACCCTTTCATGCCCCCTGTAACCTGATAACATGATAACCTTAATTCATATTTTTATGATTCTCACGGTCGGTCATTTGCTCTTCGCCGCTCGTTGAGCCGTGACATTAAAAAAAAAAAAAAAAAAGTAAAAACAAAAAAAAACAGTTCCACCGATTTGCTTTAGTGAGCTTTTATTTCATTTTGGAGAAGGCAAACACATGAAAACACATGTCGAATCTCCATTTCGAGTGTCTGAGGTTTAGTGGTACTGCCTTCCCAGAGCAGACACAACCACGGACAAGAACTTCTGCCAGGCGGCCTGAATCTCTGGGTTGAAGCTAGTTCCCATTTTGGCGGCAATGACGATGGTCAAACAGTCAGCCAGCAACTACGCAGGGGGACACAAATAAAACAATTGAATTGAGATTTAGGATTGTGATGAAATAGTTTTTTTGGGGGTGCAAACTGGAAAAAAAGATGCTATTCTTTACCTTGAAGTTATCGGGATCCACGTGCAGCTTCTCGGAGTGCAGCACGCTCAGCTCGGCGTAGGTTTCCTTGATGTTGTCCATGTTCTTCAGAGCCCGGTCCAGACCGTGCAGGATCTTGGTGCCGTGTTCGGCGATCCGGGGGTTGTTCTTGATGGCTTCGGCATTGTAGAGGTTGCCGAAGGCGCCAAAGTACCTCTGGGTCCAGGGGTAGACGATCAGACACCTGCAAGACCGAGGGGAAAAAAAGCGATCAGTTCAAGAAGGGGGGCTTGCCCGGCAATGTCGTTTAAATTTCAAATACAATCGAGTCCCCGGTTGTACCTGGTCAGAGCCTTGGGGCCGTCATCCTCGTAGATCAGGCCGCCCATGATGTTGCCGATGGCGGTGCGCTCTTGGTCAGTCCACACAACCATGTTGCCGCTTGTTTTGTTTGGTTCAGGCTTGGAGAGAAAAAAGCTGAATAGAGTTTGAGAGCGTCGAGGCGGTCTATTTAAACGTCTCCGGGGTCCCCCCCGCCCTGAAGGAGAAGCCGCTACGATAGGCTGGAGATGGAAAGCGTCTGATATAGGCCATAGAACCTTCGAGAACTTTCTGGATGTTTCCACACAGACTTTATTTTAGACATAAAATGCATTAAAAAAAAAAAGTCATTTAGACGAAATCAAAGTCCATCATAAAGCTGCAGGGAAAAAAAAAACACATTTAAAGTGTTTTTGTAGATGTTTTTGTGGATTTAAATACTAACTTATTATGCCACCACGATGACCATAATTTGTTTTAGATTCCATCCGGTCTCATCAAGCGCTGTAAGGCGCACTCTTTCACTTTCATTGGGCTCTAAAAAATGGTTTGTTTTTATTTTTTTTATTGACAGGAATTAATAGGTACTCAGAAATGAATTAAGAATAACGTCCGCACTCATTGAAAATTTTTTTTTTTCTGTTCAAGAATGCAAGTCAATGTCTCATATAACAGATAAATAAAAAAAAAAATGCCATACCATTATGAGTATCATAATCGTTTCATCATAAATCGACATTAATAATATATCATATAATTTTGCATGAAACATCTCATTTACTGGTGTATTAACCATGACGGAAGCAAAATAATTTGGATCATTCCCAAATCTGTTTTTATGTATACGGGAGCGGTCTGATGAATTTGTTCAGCTTCGATATTTTTTGATTGATTACCATTTGAAAACAAAAGTCCAATATTCGACATTTTGTTAAGGTGATCCACTTCCCATTTCATGTAATCTGAAATTATAGCTTGAACTGTCATGTTGTGTCAGAGCAGACAGTTGAAAACATCACAATTAATAACATTTTATCCACGCAGTTTTTCTGCTCTGTTCTTTGTATCACTGCAACAACTGACAATGTTTGTCATCTTATTTACAAAAATAGATCTGATTTTATATAAAGAGCAATTACGTCTCCAGCCGCCTATTTCACTCAATATTCAAACTTGTCTTTGGGCTTTTCATGTTTGAGTGTTATCTCAAGAAACCACGCCGGTGTTATCTTGAGGAGCGCCCTCTCCTCCGCCCACTAATCCACTGCCAAAATTCACATATGTTTTTGTGACAAAGATACCACAAGGTTGTGAGCAGGATCAGTTTTTTTTTTTTTTTTACTTTTACTGCAAATTTAAAAAGTATGTGAAGCAAGAAAACCAGGGTAGAATAGAACCGTGACTAGTTTGGCAATGGGGAAATTCTGGTTTTATCGCAAACAAGACGACAGTAACAGCGCGCTATACTATCTGTCTACCTGTCTTGTATTTTATACGTGTATCTTTTTTTTTTTACAATTGTTCTCTGTTTGTTATATGAACAGAACGTTTTACTGCATACCGTGTGTGTGTGTGTGTGTGTGTATATGTATATATGTGTGTATATATATATATATATCAGGAAAAGTAGACACTAGCATTTTTACGTCCCAACTATACATGACTCAACAATTCTGTACTCAGCCATGCCCTTCCAAAAGTATTGGAACAGTGAGGCTGATTCCTTTATTTTTTATGCAGATTAAAAATATTTGGGGTGGGCCGGTGATCCAGTGGTTAGCGCATCGACCTCACAGCCTAGAGGTACAGGGTTCAATTCCAGCTCCGGCCTTCCTATGTGGAGTTTGCATGTTCACCCCGGGCCTGTGTGGGTTTTCTCCGGGTACTCCGGTTTCCTCCCACATTCCAAAAACATGCATGGCAGGTTAATGGAATCCTCTAAATTGTCCCTAGGTGTGAGTGTGAGCGCGGATGGTTGTTCGTCTCTGTGTGCCCTGCGATTGGCTGGCAAACGGTTCAGGGTGTCCCTCGCCTACTGCCCGAAGACGGCTGGGATAGGCTCCAGCACCCCCCACGAGCCTTGTGAGGATAAGCGGATTGGAAAACGGATGGGTGGATTTAACATATTTATAAAGACAAGGGCGGCACGCCGGCCACACAGTGCAGAAGTACAGGGTTCGATTCCGGCTCTGGCCTTTCTGTGTGGAGTTTGCATGTTCTTCCCGTGCCTGTGTGGGTTTTTTCCGGGTACTCCAGTTTCCTCTCACATTCCAGAAACATGCATGGCAGGTTAATGGAACACTCTAAATTGTCTCCAGGTGTTTTGTGGTTGCTCGTCTGCGTGCCCTGCGATTGGCCGGCGACCTGTTCAGGGTGTACCCAGCCTACTGCCCGAAGACGGCTGGGAAAGGCTCCAGCATGCCCCGCGACCCTTGTGAGGAGAAATCAGAAAATTGATGGATGGATAAAAAGACACCATTTCAGCTTGTTGTTCAAGGTAAATATGCTTGCATCTAATACCCCACTTTGAAAAGTCCACCTTTTTTTTTTTGTTTGTTTAATTTGTCCATTTTCCTGTGTGCAAAAGTGTTGTCATCTGCTTTTGCAGAAGATTTCACGAACAATAGTACAGAGATTACACCAAAAGATGCGAACAACACATTAGCTGAAAAATAGGAAGGCTAGGCCGGCTGGAATTTCAAAAATTAGGGATCAAAGTTTTTTTGTTTTTTTACTGATGAGACGAAGCAACTGAAGTTCCTCAAACAAGCTGCCAAAACAACAAAGGAGTTCATCAGGGGCATGAAGTCGAGGACTTGAGAGTGGGCAGGACCATGTCTAGCTGATTGTTGAGGAGAGCAACCAGGTACCTGTAACAGTCCACTGTCCTTGTCCTGGATGTTCACCAGTGTCGTCAGGGCACTGCTGTCCCAGCTAAAATTAATTTGCCTTGCCACATTGCGTCGAAGATGGTTTCGCTGAGACCAGCTCGCGCCATTAGTTCTCCTTAATTACTGCCATCATAATCATCATTTTCACCCTTCTTGAGGTGGACCATAATCATTTTCGGAGTATTTTATTTTATTTTTTTTTAAGATAATGGGTACCCGGCGAGTTAGCTAGTCAGTTGGAGCACCATTGCTTTAATAACACGGAATGCCAAAAGTGAACTTCTCTCATTGCAATTCAAAAATGACAGTGCTACTGTCTGACCATCTGTAACGTTTCTTAGCTAGAAAAAATGCCAGCTAACTTCTACCTAACTACAAAAACAGAGACCCACGGCGAAACGAAGCAAAACGTCAGCCGAGCGATGGGTTGTATTTTAAAAAAATCATAAAATACTCTTGTATCACATGAATTTGACATCTGTATATGAATAGTGTCTATGCATGTTTTTTTAACCAAGTTATGGACTAGAGCTGCTTTTGAGAATATTTTATTTTGAAAATAACTGTCATTTTATTAGAGAATAAAGTAAATCTGCAACTTTTCCCTCGTGAGACAATTCATTGCACTTATTAGAATGATCATGTCTTTCTTTTGACGACCCCCCCCCCACCCCCTTACTGCATTCCCCTGTCAAAATTCTGCACACCACTTAAAATGACATGTTTCTGTGATATCAACAAATAAGATCGTGATCAATTACTTCGAAACTTTTCCCATCATTATATGTGGCATGCATTTGTGGGCATCAAATTGAATCTGTTAATCGTAAGTTGTGTGGGGGTGAAAAACGACCATGGTGAACTTCTTAAGTCAGTGAGACAGATAATCATATTATACACACAGCTTAGGTTTAAATACAAAAGGTTTAATTACAAACAGTATCTCCTTATATTAGACATTTTATATACAATCCTGGGACATTCTATCAAAACTGTTTGCACACTTTTGTACCAGAGTCCACACACACAAGTGTTTGGATATATTCAGCATTGTGGAAGGGTGCCGTGTCAGTGTTGGCAGTCTTCGTTTGCTTGTCTGGGAGGAGGATCTGACAGGTCTTTGAATCCCAGTTTTTCCAATGGTTCCTTTGTCATGAGCTGACTGCGACGCACGATAAAAGCAAAAATGAAAGTAAGCAGATCATTTAATTAACTAAACATTTCATTAAAAAGAGAACTTTAATAACTCACTGTTCCATACGACATTCCAGGTAGGCTTTGGACTGGAGTCGACACTTGGAATTGTCGAAGCTGCTCTCTCGCAAACATTTCATGAACGTCTCCTTGAAGGCTTTGCACTCTCCTGTAATCCAAAGAAGGAGCACTGATTAACATCATCGCTCAATTAATGTTTCTACTCAGTGACAAACACATTTAAACGCACTAAATTACAAAAGTTACTATCGTGGAGATAGCTGTGATCACACCCAGAATAGTGTCGCGTTACAAAGACAAGCATTACAAAAGCAAATTGTGCAACGTACCAAAATGATCTAATGGGAACGACCCTTTGTCAGGTGGTCGAGGTTGAAAACTCTTGGACCCGAAATTCATTGCAGTAGACATGTTTTGTTTTTAAAAGACGATCGGAGCGATTGTCGCAGATGTGACGTTGGACGCGTAGTTATGGTGTCATAACTTAAACTGGCAGCCATTTTAGTCGAGCCTTGCAAAACCGATGACCTTCCACAAACCGTTTTCGTTATATTTGGTTTGAAAATAAAGGCTCTCCAAGAAAAACAAACACATCTAATACAATAGTATAATAATATTAATACAGTCTGATGATAAGGATACCAAGAAGACTGTTTCATAATGAAATAAATACATTGTCATGGACCTCAACAGATTGTGCAGGTGTGCACCTTATGTTGTGTCAATAGTGCGAGTGGTGGTGATTTTCCTGTCGATATTTATTTATTATAGTGACGCAACATCACCACTTGGTGTCTCAGTGAACATGCATGGAGGGGTGATGGGTTTAATGCCACAGTAATAAAGCCATCATACACAAGAGGGAGGAGAGAGCGAGAGAGAGAAAGAGAGAGCGAGAGCATCCGGCTGACAGACAGGTGATGGTCTGCTCTGTCTGTTTGCCTCCAGTCGGCGAATGTGCTTGTGTCGACCTCGGGAACGCTTACCATGGAACCGGAGGGGAACAACCGGCTCCTGCAAGACGTGCTGGCCAGACCGGACAACGAGACGTGCGCGGACTGCGGAAACCCAGGTATCGCAAGTCGTTCTTGATCACGGTGCACCTCTTGACACAATGGACTCGCTGTCATTCATATATAAAATTAGAAGAGCGGCAGATGAAGAGAGACTGGACTTCGTCAGACCTGTTAAACATATAAATCACTGCGTGTGCGTGTGTTGTCATGGAACTGTCCTCTCATGAACCTGCTTTGTTCCTGCTAGAGTGTGTGTGTGTGTGTGTGTGTGTGTCTCCACAGACAGATGATGGCATGATGTTGTTGCCTACTGCGAACATCATTGGATCTTATTCGTCAAATTTTGCACAACTGGGGCAACAATACAGAGAGGTCCTCATTTTCTGTTCCTTCAGTGGCGATTTAACTATAAATTGTAAATTAGAATGTCGCATACTCTGTCACGAAACTAAGACAACGCACTCCTTCAGTTGTAAGAACAGTAAATCTTTGTCAACAGAAATCAAATGAAAAAACAAGCAAGAATAACAGCAGTTACTCAGCATGCCTTTTTTTTTGCCGCTTGACAACAAATTACTACTATTCACCGTCCCTCAGTGAACTACCTCATTGTGCTACTTTTGTAACCTCAAAATGTCATAACGCAAGTTTAAATTTGCACAAAAATCATTTCTAGGCTAACAGTAGCCACACACCTGAGTGTCTTTTTGTGCCGCGTTGTGATATTCTTATGTCACTGCACAAGCTTGCTCATTGTACTCCCCTCATGCCCTTCTTGAACTTTTTAACCCCCCCCCCCCACACACACACACCAAATGTGTGTTGTCTCCTATACCTCCGCCCCTCTTCTCCCAGAAGTGATATGAAGCCAAAGTGGCCACAAAGGTTCCAGGATGGGCTGAATGCCCGGCACTTGGAGGCGAGCCCACCAAAGATGCCTTGATGGTTCCTTTGAGGACTGGCTGCAGCAGAGAAACACTAGAGCCAGATTTGCTCTGGCAGACTTGAATGCAAAATCTGTGAAAACTCAAATCGGGGCGCTTTGTAGACCCGGCCCACCACTTGAAGTACACCTGCACAATCTGTTCTTAAATTACCTTTGCCCAAAATATGATTTGACATGAGAGAGGTATTCATGCATTTTTGAAATTATTTTTTTGTGCAAGGTAGTACTCGCACCATTTACATGCATACGCGTCAATGCCGATTGGTATGTTGTCAATCAAAAGCCGCAAGTAGAAATTCAAACTGAACCTTTGAGCTTTTGAAAGCTGATATCAGGAATTCAACCACAAAGATAGTAAGCTCCGAAGCACGCTATCCAAATAAAAAGCTGTATCGCCATGATGATGAGTGACATCAAGCTGATGATTTTACTCGGCTGTGAATATCCCATCAGTCACTCGGATCGTGGCATGTACGAATTACTTTGCCCAGATATAGATAGAGCCCCGCCTTGTACTACTCGTTTCCTTCTCCTGGTGTTGTCAAAAAGCACTGTGGCGGTGCGTGCTGAGAACAGTGACCCGCATGCGTATCCCGCGCATGCGGTTTAGTCAGACGGGCATTAAACGGTCTGACTCAGACAACGATGACCTCACCGCTTGATGGGTTGGTTCGGTGTGTACTCTGTTCTGTGTTTTGTAGCCGTCTGAAATGTTATGAGGGACATGCGATAAAAGCTGACTTTTTAATAGCTTTTATGCAGGGCAGTTGGGTCTCGGCAGAAAAGGCCACGTTTGTATTGTTACGGTAGGCTAATAATTCGCAAAGTGTGGCCCGACAACCAAAAGTGGTATGTGGGTCCTCTCTCATTGTATGCGAAAGTCCAAGTCAAGTCAAGTACAACTTTATTGTCAAATGTGCTGTATACAGCACAGATGAAATTTCCTCCCTCTTAAACAGACAACAAGAGGAGCCGCTGCGGGTGCCCGCGCCGCCATCAAAAGAACACTTAACATGAAATGATAAAATAATACAACACAACACATAAAACAGACAGTCATGCCATCTTAACCACTTTTCCTCCATTCACTTTGTTGTTTGAAGCAGTAATAGATCAACATTTTTTGTTGTCAGATTATGATAATTTTTTTTAGCCTAAAAGTGTATTTTTCTAAAAAAAAAAAACACCTCGAATTTGAATATTTCCCGTCACTTTTATAAGACATTTCTTGAAACGTATGTGAATTCTTTCCCCAAAACGATAGATTCAAAGAAAAAAATATAAAATGCTTCTCATAAGATCAATGAAGGATTTTTAGAATACCTTGCATCACGTTTAAAATCGCTCTTGTATTTTATTTGATCAGATTGCGTCGCCATACTGCACCTAATGTCGCGGGCAATTGTAGATCTGCATTCCCAAGTGCAGCGCGTCTTATCGTCTGGCGCTCTGCTTTCTAATTTTTTATTTATATTTTTTTGCTTTTGCTCACGGTTAGCACATTACGTCTCTCGTAAGCTTTTTGGACGTGGGCAGAATCAAAGAAACTGCGATTCAGGGTCTAAGTGTACTTTTCCTCAACACCCACGGGCAGCTTTCTGCTGCCGTGTGCCGTTAGTGTCGGAAAACCTTTCCCTAACTGCTTCTGAGGCTCAGAAAGCCGGTCGAGTCGATATCAGCAGATGCATTCAGTGCTGTTTGAATGAACCGTCTGCTAAGAACTCAACTTTATTTCCAGAGCGCTTTCAAAACAACCACCAAGATATGATATTTATTTTTTTTTTGCAATTAACGTCAAATGCTCTGACAAAAAAGCCAAGGTCACATGTTTATTCCTCAACAGCAGCACGAGTGGTGCACCTCCTCACTCGCGCTTTCATACAATGAATTGAGAATACATTCTACTCAAAATGCAAATACTGTAATCAATCATGAGCTCATCGATCTTTCTGCCCATCCTTTTGTGCACGCCCGAGACAAAACTGTGATCGGGTGATGCAACTGCAGGCGTGTCGTTTCTTTTTATTGAATTTCAGCCGATCTGTTTCCTGTTTACGAGCGAAACAGGATTTCCTGAAAATGACATTTTGCCATGCTCCCGTGCCTTTCGAACAGACGCACAAAGAACCACCTGTGCTTTCAATTCATCTGTACCCTGAAATCTTATCGTTGCCCTAACAGTACCTCACCCATTCCTCTTCTCTCCTCCTATTTTCACTCCCCCTCTTGCCTCCCCCCCCCACCAAACTCATCCGGCCTTCAATCCCTCCTGCTTGTTTACTTGCCGCAACCTCTCTCCTCTCCTCTTCCCTTCTTCCCTTTTGCCTCCTCTTGTCTTCTGCCTGCAGAGCCAGACTGGGCATCACTGACACTGGGTGTGTTTGTTTGCCAGGCCTGCTCGCTCCTTCATCGCGGCATCCCGCACATCAGCAGGGTCAAGTCGATTCAGGACACGTGGGAAGCCAGCGATGTGGAGGTGAGGCTCTAATAGCGAGCTTTAAAGGTCAGTGGAAGCTGTACCGGCTTGCATGCGCTATCCAAATGACATTTCAAGGAGACGTGATGGAAAAAAAAAAAGTCACAGTTGATAGATGGGCAGTGACCCAAGCTTTTTACACACAAGCAAAAAGTAAATTTTCCATCATATGGCACCTTTAAAGTTGAACCCTTTGAGGGACAGCGGTCACTATAGTGGGCAGCTTATCATGTTATCAGGTGAGAGGGTGAAAGCAAACCACATTTTGGATGGGTGAGCAAGGTGTCTATTGTACCAAAGTTAAAGATGGTTGTTCGAGATACATGAGGTCATCCCTTTGGATGTTGAAACAAGGCTGTCGGGAAGGAGCTTGTGGGGTGCGGGCTGATGGCGATATCGTGAGTCATTCAGTGAAGGTTGAGATGTGAGGTGGCAAGAAATGGGCCGGAGTGAAAGCTGAATGTTAAAAAGCAGAATGGGGAAATCATATATTGGTGATAAAAGATGCCTACCCCCCATCTGCAATTGAGTAAATGTCCCTTGCCCCATGATATTAGAAAATATGGTGCTGTCTTTGGAGTATTCAGCGAGTGATATACTCTCCAATTCAAGAATCAGTCCCTGATGTCTAACCTTACAGCAGAAACATTTTTGAGCCACCCGCTGGGAAAAAAAATGAAAATGATATGTGGTGTGTGCTTAATACCAGCGCACATTCGACAGTCATTGCCATGAATTTTTTAGTAGGATACATTGATGCGAGCCTCAGTCAAGCAATTTTAGATGCATAGAAAATATCATATCATGTGTCTACCTTTTGGATATTTGTTTTTGGTCCAAATATTTTTGTTGAAGGCGGCCCGGTGAACCAGTGGTTAGCGCGTCAACCTCACAGTGCAGAGGTACCGGGTTCAATTCCAGCTCCGGCCTCCCCGTGTGGGGTTTGCACGTTCTCCCCGGGCCTGCGTGGGTTTTCTCCGGGTATTCCGGTTGCCTCCCACATTCCAAAAACATGCATGGCAGGCTGATTGGACACTCAAAATTGTCCCTAGGTGCGAGTGAGAGCATGAATGGTTGTTTGTCTCTGTGTGCCCTGCGAGTGGCTGGCAATCGGTTGAGGGTGTCCCCCGCCTAGTGCCCGAAGACGGCTGGGATAGGCTCCAGCACCCCCCGCGACCCTTGTGAGGATAAGCGGATCGGAAAATGGATGGATGGATATTTTTGTTGAGCTTTTTAAAATTTTTGCCTCGGAGTGAGGAGAACATCTTTGCACGGAGTTTGCATGCTCGACTTTCTGCTTGCGTGGGTTTTCTACGGGTATTCAGTTTTCATCCCACATCCCAGATTCTTTGGTGAATTTAACCCTTTCCTGTAACCTGATAACACGATAACCTGTCCACTGTCGTAACCACTGTCCCTCAAAGGTTTGACTCTAAATTAGTGTGAATGAGTGGGTATTTTTCTGGATGTGCCCTGTCATTGTGACTGGCAAACCACTCCAGGGTGTACCTGAATGAAAACGAGCTGTACAGGAAATAAATGGATGAATGACACTGTTTTCTATCTCTCTATCTGCTGCAATGTTTTAGAAGCACACAGGTTGATGATGCCATTGGGGGTGGGGTGGGGTGGGGGGGAAACTTGTTTCTGTCTTGCAGCTTCTAGCAGATTTGGGAAACAATGTCGCTAAGGCCAAATATGAGCAGAATGTTCCGGCTTTCTACTACAGACCAACGCACACTGACTGCAAGTAAGTAGACTCACTGACCAATGAATGAAGGCAGAAAAGCTCTGGCATCCCACAGACTATATCAATAGTGTATATGATGGGCTTATCTGAATGTTAACTCGGGATGTGTCACAAAATCATATTGGAAAATCAATTGTCCTAAGGATGAACATGTCAAGGGACCAAAAGAAGAGATTTTTTTTTTTTTTTGCATCAAACTTCAATAGCAACACAGCCCGGAATCACTTTGGGATACTGAGCGCTCACTGTTTGTTTAAATGTGCTGGCAGCTATTAGCACAGCAAAAAAAACTTGGGGCTGTTCCATTATTGGAGTTAATTCAGGTCAAGAAACCAACAAGCATGCAGGATAAAATAGCAAAATATGTTTGTGGCCCCTTGCATTTGAAAAGATAGGCTGGATATGGAATTCCTTTTTTTCTTTTTGGAGTCTTAGAATAGAGGTGACTGCTCAGTCACCCCGAAAATGCGGATGCTGACATTCCTTCTTGCTTGATGACTACATGTGCAACTTCCCTTTTATAGGTCAGAAAAGGTCACATGATTACAATGAACCCTTGCTATTCTCAGAGTGAGTGCTGCAAAAAAAAAAAAAAAAATCTGTGAGGAACTGATGGCCTCCAAAAGGGCGACAAGATGGCAGCAAACATTTGAAACCGAGAGGATCAAAAAGCACACATTGTGCATGTAGAATGTCAACAATCATCAACCCATGTTACATCAATGACCGTATTCCCGAGTTTTAAAGTCGAGGGTCATCAGTGGTATTGGGTAGCATGCTCGCATAGGCAACATGCCGGCAAAAATGGACAAGCAAATATGCAACACTCACAACTTTGGTCTGCCTCCCAGTTCCTTCGCTATGATCTGTTGCAAGCCGGAACCGTGAGACGTGTCATTGCTGTTTCCAGGATGCTAAGGGAGCAATGGATCCGAGCCAAGTACGAGAGGAATGAATTTGAGTTCATCGAGAAGCAAGAACCTTACACTGCAGGTACGGCAAGAATCGCTTTGGCTTTTGCATCGGGACACATTGCGGGATGAAATCCCAGTGTGGTCATATTTCCTCCAATATTGAGCCATTGTGTTGATTTGATTCTCAGCTCCAGAGAGAACCAGGTATCGATTACAGATGATTTTTTTTTTTTTTTTTTTTTTTTACGAAAGGGTACTGAGATTTACATTTGCACAGATTAATTTTCATGATATTAAATATAACAGATTTTCCTTTGTTTCCACAATAAAATATGAGAGAGAATCTAATTCCTATAATTTTGATTTAAAATAAAAAGTCATGCATCAATCGATCAGAATATAATTCCACATTTTATTATAGCCTCATCTTTGTTGGTTTCTTTCTCATCTTTTTCCTCAAATATGCAAGATATCAGTTTGAACACTTTGAGGCACAGCGGCTACTATAGTGGACATGTTATCAGGTTACAGGGTGCATTAAAAGGGCTATAATATTTTTCAACCTTTTGCTATTTTTTTATGTTTATTTGAGGTTGGGCACCAATTTTATTTATTTATTTATTTATTTTATTATTTTTTTTACGCAAACAGCTATTAACTGATCATGTATATTGGATCAGAAATTGCAAGATGCGGAAACATGTTATATTTTTGTCCAGATTAATTTTTTGGTTTTTTTTTCTGTGTTTTAATGTTGACGAGGTTTTGTTTTGAATGCTCCACACCACATTCAGTACGCATTTACTCCTTAAACTCCACTATTATTGCGTGTGTGTGTGTGTGTGTCGCTTTCTCATTGGCCTGTAGTCACCTCACCCATCCTTTGTTACAGTGGAAAACCATCTGCGCGCGTGCACACACACACACACACACACACACACACACACAAATTCCAAAATACAATTTGTGCAAAGTATTAAGAGTCATTCTATCAAGCTTTCTTCATCGCCGCCAAGTTGCATCTGTCTGCCTTTTGTGCGTGGCGATTGAGATAGGATACTGGCGGTAACCTGGCCTCAGTGGTAGGCCAATACCAGCATTGATTGTAAATGCAGAGGAGCGAAGTCGAGGAGAGTGTAACGGGAAGGAGTCGTGGGTGGGGGACAATGAGGCCAATTGATTGAAGAGGCAATGCCAGCGGAGGTGAATGTTTCATGTCAGAGAGTCGCAGACACAAAGGCTCATCGCGCGCACACACACACACACACACACACACACACACATGCAGCTCGTACTGTAGCCCACCCGCCCAAACGGCAAAATTGGCGCTTAGGACAAGAAGACAAAAAGCAAGGCAGCCAAGTGCCAGGGAAAAAAAGGAAAATGGAAATGAGCAGCAGGGCGGGAGAACAGAAGACCTGCAATTACCCTACTGTCATTTATTGTACGCAAGTGGGGTTTGATGCTAAAACGAAATGTAACTAAAACCATGCTCGTCAATATTTTATTCCAAACAATGGATCAAATGACTTTCTGATGTGCCATTACCTGCGTTTGCAGATGATTGGTAATGGGGCGGTAATGGCTTTGCTTGAAGTGATCAACCCGCTGTGGGTCATCAAACCACAGTTTCTCTGCCCTTAATCGCGATGGCTTTTTCTATCACCCTTGCAAAGGCGTCTATTTTTTTTTTTTTTTTTTGTACGCCCCAATTGAGAGGCAACATCAGACTTTCTCCATGATCACACCAATTATGCCACTTAGGTACACGAGCCTCATTAACATGCACAGCACAATACGATGTCGTTTTGTATCGGCTCTCATGCAATGGGTAACAATCGAATCGATATAATAAGAAAAATGAACTTTGGAGTTTAAATCTCACCTGCTGGGTTGGGCTCCGCTCACCTGTGAAGCGCATGAAGACAAGCGCTTTTAAAGAATAGAATAATCTGGATTTAGAGGCTTTTTTTTTTAACCCTTTCATGAATCCTGTAACCTGGTAACATAAGATGTCCACTGTAGTAACCATTGTCCCTGAAAGGGCTAAGTACAATATTTTTTTTTTTAGCTCGATCCAGATGATTTTATTTCGTGCAACCACTTGCCCAAATAAAATTGAGCGATTTTCAGCACACTGTTTTTTTTCAGTGTTTGAGCAAATGAGGGCAATCAAAAATACCGATATTTGTCATAAAAACATGCCTGCTAAAACTCACAAATGAATCACGTGAATTGACAGTCTCATTTTTTTTTTTTTAAACGACGACCTGTATCTTACCCGGTTCTTTATTTTATTTTTTTTATTTTATTGCAGGCATGCTTTGCTGAGTCACTTATTGACTTTTTTTTTTTTTTTTGCAGAGGCGTCCTCCAGTTCAAGACGCAGATAAGAACGCATTGCCTGACAGAAATAGACGAGTATCGCGTGAAAATGGAGACAACGTAGACTGAGCCTTCGGGCCAAAATAAGAGTAAAGAGGAATAATGTGTGCTTAAAATAGAACAGAATATTAAGAACAAGGAAATTATCTGGCAGCGAGACAGTTTGTGCCTTGCACTTCCTTCCACATTCCCTCTCGGGTACAAGATGTCACCGCCACTGGTTCAAAATGTTCTCCTCGCCCGCTTTACTTAAACACATTCATTTTTCACCGCTCAGGATACCGTGAGGGGTTTCTATGGAAACGAGGACGAGACAACGGTCAGTTTCTCAGCCGAAAGTTCATCTTGTCCGAGAGGGAGGGGGCCCTCAAATACTTCAACAAGCAGGATGTGAGCACGATTCTGCTTTTGATGCGAAACACGTGTTTGCTTTGTAGACAAGAAGGTCAACACGTTTTTTTTTTTGTTTGTTTGTGTTTCGTAATCGCAAGGCTAGGGATCCCAAGGCAGTTATGAAAATCGAAACGCTCAACGCCACCTTCCAACCGGCCAAGATTGGCAACCCCTGCGGCCTGCAGATCACCTACCTGAAAGACAACAGCACAAGGAACATCTTTGTCTACCACAGCGACCCTAAGGTGTGTCAACCTAGGTTATTGTCGGTCAAGGAAATGAACGGTATAACTAAAATTAAAAAAAAAAATTTCATTCACGAAATACAATCAAAAATGAAAATGCTTTAAAAAAATAACTTGAATTATCATAAAAATATCCGTGTATTAAAAGGGGAAAAAAACTAAAGCTAATACTAAAACTAAATCTTGCTCTAAAAACTAATTGAAAATATTCAAATCCTCAAAAAAAAACTAAATTAAAATGAAATTAAAACTAACTCAAATGAAAATCCCAAACTACAATCCCGCTGATTTTAACACATACACATTACAGTTGATACAGATTTTATGGATGCACTGACAGCACCAATTTGAACACATCTGCAACAATAACAACGATTTAAATCACACCGGGATGGAAAAAAATAGAAAAATGGCTAATTGGGCCAATTTCGGACAGTTTCACTTCGGGGTGTACTCGCTTTTGTTGCCAGTGGTTTAATTAAACATGAATGAGTGTGGTTACATTCAGCGGGGCAGTTAATTTACACGGTGATGCAAGATCCCCCGCTGCTGATTTTACATTACTGGCAACGCCATTTGATCAGTCTTGCCCCCTGAAAACATAAATCAAATAAAATATCGACAAAAATATGAACGATACTGCAGATACGGCCTGATATCACTGTCGATTTTTCATCCAGTGTCCACTTCAATGAAGTAGTGCTTTTTTTCCTATTGTCGTGAGGGGCTCTCAGTTACAACCTGCGCATTAATCCGGTCTTGTTTGCAACTCTAAATCATTCCGCAAATGTCTCATGCACACTTTTGAATGAACAACTGCAAAAGACAGTAAATAGATCGAATTAAAACGAGAAAGGAGCGAAGCCAGAGGAATAAGCGTTACAGTGTGTTTTAGAGCACACTTGTGCCCTCTGCTGGCCAAGTAGTGGAACATCCAGTTCATCGGGTTCAGTCAGCCTCCTTGTGACGGTATCGATGCAAGGCTGCAGCAGCATGCACATAACCAAAGTGCGCTTGACGACGACATGCATATGATCTCAAAATCTTCCCAACCACATACAAAAACACGTTTTTTTTTTCAAATCAGCTGTTTTTTTTTGTTTGTTTTTTTTTAACCAGGAAATGGTCGACTGGTTCAATGCAATCAGAGCGGCAAGGTTCCACTACCTCCAAGTGGCCTTCCCTGGAGCAAGTAATGAGGAGGTGAGGATGGATGACTTCATTGGAAAAGGCGTTGCCAGAATCCATGCGTTTTGTAGCTTTTTTAAAAAAAATGTGAATTTTATTTTTTTGTCGAGCACTTTCTGCAATGTTTTTTTTTTTTTTTTTTTTTTTTTTAAGCATTGGTCTCAAAAACTGATGAACCAGCACTTGGCGTTTTAATTATTCATATCGCCTCAGCACTGAAAATGCATATTAATGTAGAGATGTTCTTTCTTGAAGTGAAAATTGCGGGACCGCAGCTAGGAAAACCCCATGTGAAATATTTGATCCGTGCTTCTTTTTCACTTTAGTTTTGTTGCTTTCCAGCTGGTGCCGAAATTGACCCGAAACTTCATGAAGGAAGGCTTCATGGAGAAAACAGGCCCAAAGGTTTGTATCGTCATCGATTCCCGACCGTGATTGCCGCAGCATGTTATTGTGTCCTAAGAGATCGTCAGGAGAACTGCGGCAAATTCTTCAATTTCACCGAAATGGTCCATTTCTGAACTACAAATAATGTTTTTCATTTTTCGACACATGTGACGTATCGTAACAGACAAGACAATGAAAATGGACTTCCACTAGAATGTGCAATTCATTTGTTGTATCCCCTGTTGCCGTTCAAAGACCAAGATTGTCTCATTCACTTCCCGTTTTTGACGTTGACTTTTGCTGGCACAGCACACAGAGGGCTTCAAGAAGAGGTGGTTCACTATGGACGACCGACGACTGATGTATTTTAAAGACCCCTTGGTATAATCCAACTCGCACCTTCTCTCCACCTTTGGCACTTTTGCTGACTGCGGCGATTGTTTTCTTTGACTCGGGCTGTCGGTGCTTGCTGTCTCCCTGCAGGACGCCTACGCTCGCGGCGAAGTGTTCATCGGCAGTAAGGAGAACAGTTACACCGTTTTGCCTGGCCTGCCCTCAACCATTCAAGGCTACCACTGGAATCACGGCATCACTATCGTCACGCCAGACAGGAAGTTCCTGTTTGCCTGCGAGACTGAGGCTGAGCAACGAGACTGGATCGCGGCCTTTCAGAGAGTCATGAATCGACCGATGAGGCCCCAGGAATACGCAGGTACGGAGGCTCGGCCGACATTTTTTTTCTGTGTTTATCAATTACGTTTCAATTTGTCACACATATAACCATGAGAAATTTTCCGAGACTTTTAAAACCACCTTTTTTGAGGCTTTAACCCTTTCGGGGACAGCGGTCACTACAGTGGACAGCTTATCATGTTATAGGTTACAGCAGGGGTGTCAAACTCATTTGTTTTGTCGCGGGCCACTTCGGAGTTACGGCTTCCCTCGGAGGGCCGGTGCAAATTCTCAACGTTATTTATTACCCGTGACAATTTGACATTTTGTGACAGAGTTCAGCAAGAATCATGAAAGTTGACACCCATGATTTGCTCCCGCGGGCCACATAAAATGATGTGGGGGGCCGGATTTGGCCCCCGGGCCTTGACTTTGACAACTGTGGGTTACAGGGTGCATGAGAGGGTTCAGGGCACCCCCCCCCCCCAAATTTGAAATAATTGACAGGTTGTAATTGTCTTTGACTTGCTTTAATCAAAATCCACCAAGGATCAATTATTGCTTTACACACAGTATTTCCTGTCTGTCTGAAATGAAGTTATCATGCACTCCGTGCAGCTCTGCTTACCTTTTTGGCTTTGGCACGATAGCAGGGGCGCCACACTTTTTTTCTTTTTGCGGATGTGGGTGTTTCTGCTTGTGATAGTGCCTCTCCCATGATAATGTTTCAGACAGTTTAGCTCGGCTGTCACTTGAAAATTGGCAGCCAAGATGTTCATGTTATGGGGAGAGAAAGCCAATGTAGTGGTTGTTTATCATGTCACATTTTCAGAAAATACTTATAATTTGTTGTTTTTGTTTTTTTTTAACAGTGGAGGCTCATTTTAAACACAAACCTTGAGGCCTTAGAAAAAAGCAAGACCGCAGCAGGATTTGACCTGGTCACTTTGGGATCAAAAACAGACCACGGACTGTGGCTTGAGGCAAGGGGTGGGCGTTTCCAGAAGTGGGTTGACCACCATGAGGAAAGATAAGTCACACAAGGCAGGTTGACATCATTGAACCCGTTATGTAGAAAACGAACATGGGACTCAATGCTCCTTCAGCTGATGTGAGGACAAAGAGTTTTTTTTGCAGGAACCTGTGGGAGACATGTCGTCCCTGTCCTGGAATTTTGTCTTGTGAATGGTTTCACCTCCCTCAACTCTCATGTCATGAATTGATATTTACCCAGGTTGAATCATATTGCATTGTTGATTTATCGACTGTAGGGTGTGTGTGTGTGCGTGTATGTGGGTACATTTTGAAATGAGTTGGAAACCATGCTAAACCTATATCTGCAAAGTACTGTTGATCACAAATATGCATTCAAAACACAAATTCTCAGTGACTGGTCGCTTTTTAACATAGCTGCGGGAAAGTTCTTTTTAAGCCTATCCAGTATATGACAGCTGTTGCCTTTGTTTGTTCTCTTGAACTCATTGTGAAACTGTTACTGATGCGTTGAAGGATTGTAATGTGATGGGACTGTGTTTACGAGTGTTTTATTTATTTGCCCTTTTTTAAACGATGATGATCATTTAATCACAGTAATTGTTTGTTTTACTATAAAAACCTAATACATATGAACGTGTAATGTGTTTGTTGTCTGTGTACACTCCTAAAAAAACTTTGTTGTTGGCTTTTCAGTCAGCTTTCTCAGTCAGCCTCTGTTTGTTGTGAATCTAATTTGCACCCAGGGCCTTCGAACCGGTTTCTTTCATTGAATCAGATTTCAAATTTACCTCACAGGGTCTGTCTGATGATCAAGGTGGTCAGAGGAAAACGTGTTCCAGAAACATGTAATAGAAAAGCACATCTATATGCACAAATTAATACAGTTAATACTCAGCATCGTATGATGTATTTTATTTTTTAATATTTTACGCAACTCTGACCCGTCCAGTACAGTTGGTTCGAAAAAAATATTTCTTTATTGACTTAATTTAAAAAAAATCATAGTAAAACACACTACGTATTAATAAAACGTCAGCTAATAGTGCGTTAAGTAATTTTGATGTAACAACAAATAACATGAATTTCCGCCTGTGTTTGATCACGTGACTGAGTGACGCAGCAAACAACATGGCGACCTCCTGTGAAAGCTATAACGAGTCAGTCAGGAAAAGACGCCCGAAAGGTGCTTCAGCAGCGGACGCAAAGTTTACCGACAGCATCGGCAGAAAAGATGCGGTCAACACAATCGAAGGCACCAAGAAAGGAAAGAAGCTCCAGTCGTTACAAACGGGGACTTTCTGGCTCACTCGTATTGTGCTGCTGCGCTTTGTTGCCTTTATTTACTGTGAGTGTGCCGGCTTAAGTGTAAATAATGTACGAGTCAAGTTTTGACCACGCTTTGTACGGTTCTAGATTTAAATACAGGGCATTAAATACAACATATCCCATCTTGAAGTCTTTTGAGTGATGCTACGCACAAGTGACAGCCTCTGTATGGCAAACGTCTTCTTATACATCAATTAAGTTATGGAGAAATGTAAAATTAATTTAGTTGAGGCTGTCTTGAACGGCAGCATGATGTGCCGCGGTTCTTTCGATTTGTTTGAATTAATAATGTCAATCTTTGCAAAATTGTACCTGTACAATGTTTAGCGCTAGGCTTAACGCCTCCAGCACTTGAAATATTTTACAATAATAATTTCTGATATTTTCTTTTAAAAATCCGCTATCTGGTTTCAATTGATGTTTCTTTTCCCATGAGCCATAGAAAAAGCCATGGCCAAGTTTATCTTTTTTTCGTTTTTGGATTTACTTATTTCTTAATTTTATTCCCCCGCGCCCTCGAGGATTAGCTTCTATGAATTTCCTCAGAAGCGATAAAAAAAATCCATTGACAGACAAACTTATTTTGATGAAATGCTCAGCCCCGACAAAAATGTAAAATGTTTCACTGATGAGTTAAAAAAAAAAAAATCTTATGTTTTTTCTCCCCCCCATCCAGTTGTGGCGTTCAGTGTCGCTTACAACCAGAATAAACAGCTGATCGGCGAAAATGGCCTGATGCCCTGCAAGAGCTATCTCAAGAGTGTCAAGCGTTACGTTGGAGGAAAGATAGGCATGGCTGCTCTAGCCTACACACCCTCCATACTCTGGTTCTTGGACTGGAGCAATATGGACGCCAACCTCGATGGCATCGCCTTGGTGGGGATGTCCCTCTCTGGTTTTGTTCTGGTGATGGGAATGGCCAATATGGTGATCATGGTGTCCTTGTGGGTGCTATACCACTCCTTGGTCAATGTGGGCCAGCTATGGTAAGTTTTGGATTTGCTCAAATGTAAGGATAACATCTTATGAAAAATTGACTAGTTGGGTCTCTGAAGTCCATGCCCACCCACAAAGTGTGAAATTAAACAGCCAAGTAAATATTTTGTTAGCCATCTATTTGCTGTGCCGTGTACCTGGGAAATGAGAACTGTTTTAAAATGTGTGTGTGTGTGTGTGTGTGTGTGTGTGTGTGTGTGAGAAAGACCATCCTCATGAATTAAATTGTATCAACATTTTAACAATGTATTTTTTTTTATATTCCTCTGCAGGTACTCCTTTGGTAAGTTGACTTCATGATAGTTTTTTTTCTTTGACTGTAATTGATTACCGCAAATGACCAAATACCCTTTCCTGTCCTTTCTACATTGACTGAAATGTGAAGTGCATATCATCCTCAATCCACATCGAGGTCTCCTTTTATCATTGTCATTCCAAATGAGTTACCTGCTAGCAAAGATCCTCGTTTTTTTTTTTTATCCAGGCTGGGAGAGTCAGCTGTTGGAAACGGGCTTCCTGGCCATTTTCTTGTGTCCTTTGTGGACTCTGTCCCAAGTCCCCCGCCGCTGTCCCCCTTCCCTCATCTGCATCTGGACTTTCAGATGGCTAATTGTCCGCATCATGCTTGGAGCTGTGAGTGAAACGCTCTTCCCTGCTTCTTCTTTGGCCACTCAATATATACAATCAGGTACACTTGCACAAATCGAATAGACCTTTGGTGTTGTATTTCAGGGCCTGATTAAAATCCGAGGGGACCAATGTTGGCGAGACCTCACCTGCATGGATTATCACTATGAGGTAGATTGATTTTCTTCTCTGTGAAATATGTTTGCATTAATCCTTTGAGGGACGGCGGTTACTACAGTGGACAGCGTATCACATTATCAGGTTCCAGGTTATTATGAGTGCATGAAAGGGTTCATGAGTAAAATTGGAGTGGCCATGCTATTATACTTCTGTGAAAGAAAAAAAAAAAAAATCACTTCTCCCCGTCATTTTCATCATCTCAGACGCAGCCTGTCCCGAACCCCGTGTCTTACTACATGCATCGCTCCCCTTGGTGGTTCCATCGCTTCGAGACGATGTCCAACCACTTTATCGAGCTCGTCGTCCCCTTCTTCACTTTCCTGGGCAGGCGGATGTGCATTGTCAATGGCGCACTGCAGGTCCTATTTCAGGTAGACAATTTCAGACACTCGTGCAATGCAGGAAATTAAAAAATAAATTAAAAATACACACACACAAACAAACAAACAGTGCTTTTAGTTAAAGTTTACATAAATTTCAGTCAGCTGTTTTGTGTTTCACAGATAAAAATAATAAACGTATTTCAAATGTATTTCTAAATAATAATGAATTTAGGAATAAAATGTTTTAATTCGGGCTGTCAAAAACAAAGTGGACATACAATTGCTGATCACTCCACGTCTCTGCTGTGTCTTTCGGGCTCTAGATAGTTCTGATCGTGAGTGGGAACCTCAGTTTCCTCAACTGGTTGACCATTGTACCCAGTCTGGCCTGTTTTGATGACGCATCACTGAGCTTCTTGTTTCGCTCCGGAAGTGGAGCCAAGAAAACAGTTTTGAAGATTCAAGATGAGGAAAAAAGTGGACGGGCCCCTGAAGCCACTAAAGGTATTCATGCTGCGGTCATTTATGGCGTGACAAGGAAACGTTATAATGTAATATGCTGTCAACACCCACAGTGTTGAGGGGACCACAAACATAAGCTTGACATATTAGTTTATTTTTTCTTTTATGTTCAGACAGCAAATTTCTTTTTTTTTTTTAAGTTGTTCTCATTACAGTACTCCTTAGCAGGATCCTGGTGTAAATCATGGAAGCCTTTTTTGGTGGAAACCGCACAGAAGTAAACAGTAACGATGGCAACGTAAGATGGCTGTCCTCTGGCTTGAGCTGCAAGGGGCCAATCATTCAAATATAAGACAGTCGAAAGTGGATAGCGAACACCTCCGAATTTACTTCCTGGTTGGCTGCTATGCTAGCACTTCCAAATATGGGCATCTTGGCATAGAGGTGTCATCATCTTTCTCCGGTTGCCTCGCAACCCAGTCACGCTGAGCGATTGCAGTGTGAAAAGGGTTTTAGACAGTATATTGAACCTTCTTTATGGAAATCCGGCTGAGTTCAATTCTTTTTTCTTTTTTTTTTTTTTTTTTTAATGTGTGTGTCAGGAATGCGGATTCGTCAGGTGGTCAATGTGTCGTTGGGCATTCTGATCGGCTGTCTGAGTGTTCCGGTCCTCATGAACCTATTGAGTCCCAGGCAGGTGATGAACACCTCCTTTGACCCACTGCGCATCGTCAACACCTACGGGGCCTTTGGCAGGTACATTTCTCTCGGAGGCCAAGTACAATTGAGTGTTTAGTCGTTGGTGACCTTGAGATGGCACAAGAGATTCTTCGATCCTTAGCGATCAACCGTCAGACCTTTTGTTGCTGTCCCATCCAATTTTTTGGTTCCCACTACTCAGTAATTGTATTCCCCTTTCCAGTATTACCAAGGAGCGCACTGAGGTGATTTTCCAGGGCACTCTGAGTGAGGATCCCAAAGACCCGAAAGCAGTCTGGGAGGAATACCAATTCCTTTGCAAGCCAGGAGATCTTTACCGACGGCCGTGTCTCATTTCCCCGTATCATTACCGCCTGGACTGGCTCATGTGGTTCGCGGCCTTCCAGGCGAGTTGCTCAACAGCAAAATCTCTCCCATGTAGGAGCTGCGGATTCACTGCAACACAAATGTTTGCTCCCTGCTTGATTTTAACATCACGAATGATATCTCATTGCATCCTCATGCAGTAACTTCTTTATTTATGGTTTCATACACAACCACTTTTTTTTTTAACTCATTCAGTACCAGCCAATTCTAGACCAAGTCTGAAAAGACGTTTAAAAACGTCTTCGTGAGTGAATTTAATGACAAAATAGTCTTCCTGAAGTTTAAAAAAAAAATCCGCATTTCCGTTTTCCACACAGACCTACGAGCAGAGTGAGTGGGTCATTCACATAGCGGGACGCCTTTTAGCTAACGATAGCACAGTCCTCTCGCTGCTGGACCACAACCCCTTCCAGGACAGAGGCATCCCCAGGTAACGGTCTTCAATTTGTGACAAGTTGTTAATTCATGTTGTGTCAGCTAAGCTTTTGTGTCGTGGAATGATCCCGATCGAGTTTGGCAACAAGCGCGCATACGTTATGTGTTCAGTCCTATTTTGTCTACGTCTCAGGTGGGTTCGGGGAGAACATTTTCGATACAAGTTCAGCCAGCCAGGCAGTACTAGCGCAGCTGAGGGCAAGTGGTGGCTGAGAAAGCGCATCGGGCCCTACTTTCCTGCTGTGGATCTTGCAGCACTCAAGGGATACTTCCA